CCTTGCTACAAAACGTCTACCTTTACATTTTCCAACCCTCATAATCAGTCCTGATAACCATTATTCACTACAGTATCACGAGTTACCCATCTGTATTTCATTTCATCAGCTCTGCCTAGACAGATTGGATAGTACTCACTAGAGATTCTGCCTTCCTCCATGCCCCCTACCTCTAGGTTCCCTCTTGAAAGCTTGTAAGCCAGTCACTTCTTGCCTTTGTAGTCTCCCTCTCCCCATTTGGGTATCCAATGTCCAAGTTCTCCCTCTCTGCCCACTCTGTGTGTGGAGGTGGCATCCTTTGACTTTTAATCTGTTTTTTGTCTCTGTGTGTGAAATGTGTCTCTTGCAGACAGCATATTGAAGGATCTTGTTTTCTTATCCATTCTGCCACCCTCCTTCTTTTTACTGGTGTATTTAGTCCATTTACATTCAGTGTAATTATGGATAGGTATGGATTAATTGCTGCCATTTTTTTTTGTGTGTGTGTGTGGTGTTTCTGCTTTCTTTGTTCTGCGTGTCTTCCTGTGCTGAGTTCATACTTTTTGTGTTCTTTCTTGTGAGTTTCCTCATAGTTTTAATGTTCTTCTTGGAGTTTCATTTTCTTGGTATGTTGTGAAGTGTTAATTTTCTTTGAGGTAACCTTACAGTCCATTAACTTTTCCCTCCATTTAATACAGTCTATTTTATCCTGTAATCTACCTGACCTTCTCACCATCTGGATCTCTGTTCCTACATTTTTACCTTCATCACAATGTAATTATTTTGATCATAAACTGACCTCCCATATTCTCTGAGTTTGTTCTTGTAGTTTTGTTCTGTTCTCAACTCTTCCATCTGTTGATTTAGTTCTGGGAGGTGCTTCCATGTATGTCAATTTCTGGTTGTTTTCTGTTCTTGTTGGTTCATAGTCCATAGAACTCCCTTTAGGATGTTTTGTAGTACAGGGTTGGCTTTGGCAAAATCCCTTCGCTTCTGTTTATCCTGGAATGTTTTGATTACACCGTCATATTTGATTGATAGCTTTGCTGGATAAAAGATTCTTGGTTGACAGCTTTTTTCTTTCAGGGTTTTATATATGTCTCTCCATTGCCTCGTGCTTGCATTATTTATTCTGAGAGATCGGAGCTTAATTTGACTTACTTGCCTTTGTATGTAACACTTCTCTTTGCTTCAGGATTTTCTGCTTATCTTGATTTTGGAGACCTTGATTATGATATGTCTTGGTGATTTTCTTTTGGGGTCTATCCTTCCTGGGTTTTGTTGAGCTTCTTTGAATGTTTATCTTTTCACTTTTCAGGATGTTAGAGAAGTTTTCTTCCAGCAGTTCTTCAGCTATTTCCTCTGTGGACTTTTGTGATTCTTCCTGTCCTGGAATGCTGATAATTCTTAAATTATTCCTCTTCATGTTGTTCAACATGAATCTTAGACCTTATTTGGATTTTTTATCCTTTTTTTCTGTTTGCTCTTCTATCTTAGTGGTATTGAGAGATTTGTCCTCCAGTTCTCTACTTCTGCCTTCCATCTCTTTTATTCTACACCTTTGCCCTTTCAGTGTATTGTCTATTTATTATATTCTATTATCAATTATTTGAACCTCTTTCTGTAGGTTTTGTATTGTTTCCAATGCTTTATCTATCTTATTTGATTTTTCCTGTAGCATTTTCTTGCTTCTTCCTTATTTTTCTCAACTCCATTGTAAAGTGTTCTGAAACATTTTATAATCATATTTCTGAATTGCTTCTCAGGCATTTCCAAGGCCTGCCCTCCTTCCAGAATGGAATCCATGGTCTACCTCTAGCCATTTGCCTCAGACATTTTATCTTGTTTCTGGACATGTGCTGATATGGTCATCTGTTTTTGCTTTTTGGACATGTTTAGTGTTCAGCTGTGGCCTTAATACTTAATAGAGTGTGTGTTTTGGTATTTTTTATGGTTTCTGATTGCCTCTAAGTAGATGTGATCAGGAGGTGGGCTTCCCTTTTCACTCTTCTTATTGATTAACTCGAGTAACTTTCACAGGTGTTATCTGCCTCCCTGGTGTATGGCAGTTGATACTGGTTCTTGCCTGGATTGTGGGCTTTAAAGTGTGTGATTGTATCTTAACTATATGGCAGTAATTGTTGTCTCTTCTTGGGTTGTATAGGGAGAAAAAGAGCCCTCTAGAGGTAAAAGTGGGAACAAAATACAATAGAGCTAAAGAAAAAACAAAAATCAAAAGAAAAAACAGCAACACGAAAAAAGCAAGGGAAAAACAAAACAAAAAAAACAAGAAACAAACAAACAAAAAAACCCAGATTGGATATTGAAGTCTATAATCATGGGAAAAGGAGAGGAGAGAGAGAAAAAGAAAAAGAAGAAAAATTTTGTAGCCTAATATGAGTATGACTTTAACTTCCTTTTTTAGTTTCTTGCCTTCAATGCCATCTGATAAATTTCAAGATGCCACTGTTCCTTGTTATGCTATACCTCAGGATTTTATTTTTCGCCTGTTCTTTGTTTAAACTCTCCCTCTTCTCATCCTGCTCTGGCCTCTTCCTTACACCACCAAGCCCAATGCTGGCAGCTTGAAACCACCAGCTGTTCTGCAGGAGAGACTAGGCACTCTGCTCCCACAAAGATTCGCAGCCTCAGAATTCCTGCGCAGGGTCACTATGAGCTGGAGCCAACTCCCAGGCACTCAGGTAGCAAGAAAGATGAGTGCCTCTAAATGCTGAGAGGATCTGTGCACGTGCATGGTGGAAGAACCCTCCAGGGGTGGAGGTGGCGTTTGTCCTCTCGCTCAGGCACCAAGTCTAGTCACCAGAATGGAGGTGTGTAGACAGCCCATGAACAGATTAAAAAAAAAAAAAAAAAATCAGAACAAAGCAAAACCAAACAGATAGGTTGTTAATTCCTAGGGGGACTGCTTGCGCCTCTGCTTGGTCTTGTTGTTTGATCTCATCCAAGTTGCAGGTTCCGGTCTCCGGCAGATTCTAAAGTACAGGATTTTGTACTTCCACTACAAGTTCAACTAGCTATAAACCTTCAAACGTTTAAAATATTCCTACCTATATGGTTGAGAGTTTTGGAGCTCTTCCCTGAACCCAGTTTGTCTGGTATTCTGTGGTATTGCTGAGGGAAACTTTACTGCACCTCTACCTTATCCACCATCAAGTCCCACCTCCCAACAATGAGTTTTTGTTATGGTATACTGAAATCTGAAATATCTGCAAAACTAAGTGAACTGATACTTTTCAAATGACGAATGATTTTACAAAATCACACATGGGAAAAACTTCATTCAAAGTGTATAAAGAGACTAAAGAGCTTTAATGCAACAGCATGAATAGTTCATTGGTATGGTTTTAAATTCCACATTGCATCTAATCTTTAAGAAATTGCCACTTAGAGAATTTTAGTGAAGAATGTTCTAAATGATCTGAAAAGGTTATTAACATTGACCACTCCTTTACAACTACATATTTTTGAGAGATGGTATTTTCTTTTTATATTTCAATTAAACATTGCAACAAATTGAATGCAAAAGCAGATCTGTGAATCCAGTTGTCTTTTCTTAACCAAACATTAAAGAAATGTATTAATTTTTCATTCTCAAACATGGTTATTTTCCATAAAAATATGCTATATGTAATACATTATTATTGTTCAAAAAGGGATTTATAATATTATTAAACATTTCAGTTTATGTTTCTAGCATGATAAATATAGATTAAATATAAACAACATAAACAAAAGTTTAGTATCTCAGTAGTTTTTAAGAGTGCAAAAGGATCCTGAGATCAAGTTTTAGTAACTTTAAACTAAAGGAACAGTATTGTGATAAATATGATACTGAATTCAATAATTTGGAGAAGTTAAGTTCATATTGTAGTAAATGTTTATGTATGGCTACCTTTCTTATAAATTAACATCTGTCATCAGCAATGCTATCCCTTGCCCCACATCCTCTTCTGAATCCGACTCGAACGTCTGGAAGTTCTCTGTCAGTGTATGCTTGCAGCTGTTTCTGTATTATCTTTAGTAAGAATTTATTTGCATGGAGTATCAAAGATATTGTCTGATGATTTCCATATTCCATTGGGTCACCTCTCTTTGGAATGGACACAAATATGGATCTCCTCCAATCAGTTGACCAGATAGTTTTCTTCTAAATTTCCTGGCATAGATCACTGGGTGCTTCCAATGCCGCCTTACTTTTTGAAAGATTTCAATTTTTATTCCATCAATTCCTGGTGCCTTTTTCTTTGCCAATTCCTTCAGCACACCTTGGACTTCTTCCTTCAGTATCATTGGCTCTTGATCATATGCTACCTCTTGAAATGATTGAGCATCAACCATTTTCTTTTGGTATAATGACTCTGTTTATTCCTTCCATCTTTTTTTTTTTTTTTTTTTAGTTCATGTCTTTTATTACTTCATATACAATTACTTGTCTTCTGGCTTGTTGAAGCAATAGGTCAGACAACACTTTCCATAGTAATGTCTATCAAAATGGCTGGCCATAAAAACTTCAGCACCCCATTCATCTGAAGGCCACTTCTGACGAAGGCAATTAATTTTGCCGTTCTCGTCCACCTTGTAGTATTTTAGGACAGGCAACTTAACTTTCTTCCTCTTATGCTTATTCTTCTTGGGAGCAGTGTAAGACTTCTTCTTCCTTTTCTTAACGCCACCATGAAGTCTCAACACATGATGAAGAGTGGACTCCTTTTGAATGTTGTAGTCAGACAGGGTGTGTCCATCTTCCAGTTGCTTTCCAGTAAAAATCAGTCTCTGCTGATCAGGAGGAATTCCTTCCTTATCGTGGATCTTGGCCTTTACATTTTCGATCATATCTGAGAATTTGACCTTGACAGTGATGGTCTTCTCCATTAGGGTTTTTTGAAAATATACATCTTGGCGATCGTTCTACCTGAGTATGAGGGAAAGGACAAGATGGGTAAGACCCGCAAACACAAGAAATGGGGGAAAGGGGAGGTCGCAGGCCAGAGAGCAGCCAAAGAGACCCTTCCATCTTCTTTTGATGCTTTCTGCATCATTCAATAATTTGCCCAGAGAATCCTTCAATAACAAAAGTTGAGGCTTAAATTTTTTCTTCAGTTCCCCCAGCTTGAGAAATGCTAAGTGTGTTCTTCCCTTTTGGTTTACTGACTTCAGATATTTGCACATTTCGTTGTAATATTTGACTTTGTCTTCTCAAGCTGACCTTCGAGATTTTCTGTTCAACTCTTGTACCGCCTCATTTCTTCCATTTGCTTTAGCATCTCTATACTGGAGTGCTAGTTTCAGTGTCTCTTCTGGCATCCATTTTGATCTTTTCCTTCTTTCTTGTCTTCTTAATGACGTTTTGTTTTATTCCTGTATGATATTCTTGATTTCATTCCTCAACTCTTCTGATCTTTAGTCTTTAGTGTTTAATATATCAAATCTGTTCTTCAGATGATCTCTAAATTCAGGTGGAATATATTCAAAGTTATCTTTTGGCTCTTGTGGACTTGTTTTCATTTTCTTCAGCTTCAATCTGAATTTGCATATGTGAAATTGATGGTCTGTTCCACAATGGCCATTGGCCTTGTTTTGGCTGATGATATGGAACTTAGTTACCATCTCTTTCTACAGATCTAGTCAATTTGATTTCTGTGTATTCCATCTACTGAGGTCCATGTGTATAATCATCTCTTATACTGTCTAAAGAAGGTAATTGAAATGAACAACTCATTGGTTTTGCATAATTCTAGCATGTGATTTCCAGCATCATCTCTATCACCAAGGCCATAGTTTCCAACAACTGACCTTCATCTTTGTTCCCAGACTTTTCATTCTAATCACCAGTAATGATGAATACATCTTGATTGCATGTTTGATCAATTTCAGAATGAAGAAGTTTGTAGACTTCTTCTATTTCATCCCCATTGACTTTAGTGGTTGGTGCATAAATTTGAATAATAGTGGTATTAACTGGTCTTCCCTATAGGCGCATGAGTATTATCCTATCACAGACAGAATTGTACCTCATGATTGAAGTTGATATGTTCTTTTTGATGATGCATGCAACACCATTCCTCTTCAATTTGTCATTCCTGGCATAGTAAACCATGTGGTTGTCAGATTTAAAATGTCCAATACCAGTCCATTTCAGCTCACTTATGCCTAAGATATCGATGCTTATGTGTTCCATTTCATTTTTGACAATTTCCAATTTTCCTAGATTCATACTTCGTACATTCCATGTTCTGATTATTAATGGATGTTTACAGCTGTTTCTCTTCATTTTGAGTTGTGCCCCATTCAGCAAATGAAGGTCCCAAGGACTTTAATTCCATGGGCTTTACTCCATTGCATCATCATAGTCAACTCTAGTTTGAGAAGTCAGCTCTTCCCCGGTTGCATTTTGAGTGCCTTCTAACCTGAGGGGCTCATTTTCCATCACTATATCGGACAGCTTCTCTGCTATTCATAAAGTTTTCAGTGACTAAATGTTTGGAAGTAGTTTGTCTTCATCTGGAAGCTCATCTAAAACCACCCTGGGTGATCCTGCTGGTATTTAAACTATACTGGCATGGCTTCCAGAATCACAGCAACTCACAAGCCACCATAGTATGACAAACTGAGATGAGTGGTGGAAACATACAAATTAAGGAATATTGATTCAGTGTTTACTATGTACTTGAACCAGGAAGAGTTGTTAACAGTATAAAAAGAATAAGAAATAGTTTCTGTCCTGTAGGGCCTCATACTCTAGAAGGAAGGATAATATCATTTATGTCTGTGTATATATTTGAAAATAAATGTGTTCAGTTTTTTAAATCATTCAAAAATATAGCTTAGGAAGTTTATCTATTAATTTGTGAATAATTAAGCAGTTTTAGCTTCTAAATGGAGTACTGGTGTGCAACTGTAGGATAAGCACTGGACTTCTAACCACAAGGTCAGTGATTCAAGCTTGACTATATGGCACTTAACAGCAAGGTACTATACAGTGGTCTGCAATTTGTATTTCATTGAGTGAAATGATAATTTCATGTATGTGCATATAACCTTTCTAGTAACTTAGAATATTTTAACCCTAGTGTATTATCTGTACATTTTTCTAGAAGCCCACTGTAAATAATAATGTAAATGATGGAAGAAGAAATATTTTAAAAGAAGAGTAACAATATACAATCACGTTTAGTGAGAAGAGTCTATGAAAGTTTGACATAATTATAATAAAAATCAATTAAATACAGAGCAAATGGGAAATATTTTCAAAATTCTAATCAGACCAGAGCAAGTAAAACATTGCTGAAGATAATTAAAAAATGGCTGCAACAGTACATTGACAGGGAATCGCCAGAAATTGAAGCTGGACTCAGAAAAGGACATGGAATAAGGGATATCATTGCTGACGTTGGATGGATCTTGACTGAAAGCAGAGAGCACCAGGAAGATGTTTACTTGTATTTTATTGACTATGAGGCATCTTTCAACTGTGTGGATTATGAAAAGCTAGAATAACATTGTGAAGAATGAACATTCCAGTACACTTTGTTGTGCTCATGGGGAACCTGTACATAGACCAAGAGGCAGTCACTCGAGCAGAAAAATAGGATATGGAATGATCTAAAATCAGGAAAGGTGTGTGCTAGGATTGTATTCTTTCACCATACTTACTCAATCTGTATGCTGAGCAAATAATCTATGAAA